GTCAAATGTCATACAATCGTTAAAATAAAGTGCCCTTCTTAAAATAATAGTAAATGTCAAAATTATTTTATTATCTCAATAAAAAAATACGAAAGTATTAAATAGTTCTCTACGCCAATAGGTATTTATATGTTCACCAGCGCGTCGGTAATACAGATTACCAAGTTGGTTACTCCATTGTTTTAAAGAATTCGCTTTATAAAAATATTTAATTTATATTATTTTTAGAAAATAGTTTATTAAAGAACTAATGTCATAAGACGTCATTTTGTCGCCCGCGGACAATGTAATGGACGAGTGCGACAAAAGGTTTTATGACATGAGTTTTTTATGCTATTTTATCTATTTAGCAGATATTGTATAAAAAATTAAGTTTAAAACCTTAAATTTAATTTGGTCGAATTTTACTTTAGATAGTTGGTATCACAGTCATTGGTTTGACAGTTGATGTCAAAATCGATTCGCCATGCCGTCCCTAATTTACTTATTTACAATAAGCGGCTGTTAATGTTAAAGAAGAAAAAAAGGATTTTCTTTGGTGTTAATCAAAATTTATTGTCAGAAAAGTCTCGTAAGTACTAGAAAAATCATAAAAATATTATAACCAATATGCAAAATATTATGCTGTTTAAAGTAATTTTGATTTTATAGGTTGGCTATATAGCCAACCTATAAAATCAAAATTTTGGGTAAGATAAAGTATCTCATTACAGCACCGAAATCGGTGTTATAATAAAGTCATTATGAACGCAAAATAGATAAAATATACTAGGCAACTGGTTTATAAACTTTCTAAAATGACTTTTATCAAACTTGATACATAATAATATTAGTAATAGTATATTATACTATATTAAATATTGTTTTTAATAAAATTTTAAAAAATACACAAAAAATTGAATAAAACTAAATAATACATATTTTAAACCCCTGAAGTCTACAAAAATGTATGAACTATTTTAAAACAGATATGCTAGTATAGGTAGGAATGTCGATTTAAGCTGACATAATGGTCTAAGAAAGTCTATAATCTACAATCACCAGAAATTGGCCACAATCTTAATTTTTCCTCGAGAATAGCTTATCTGATGGTACAGTAGTATGCAAATAAAAAGCGTACAGCCTTAGAATGAGAGGTACTGCATGCAGTGCACTTGTCAAATATGGCGAGTTAGGTTATAAAAAAAACAGTGCCGTAGATGTAAACCAGCCGTCAGTATTCTTTATAAACAAACTCGCCATATTTGACAAGTGTAGTACCTCTCATTCTAAAGCTTAATTTTTATGTATCCGTTTGTTCGTTATCCGTTTGTCCGTTTTTAATAAAATCGTCCGACAAGAAATTTTTTAATTTTCATGCATCCGTTTTTTAATGATGTTTAACGGATTGATTTGGCGACAAATAGAAATTAAGGGTCAGTATATTCACTTAACTAAATTTACCTGTTGCTTAATTGTCATAGTTACAATTATGTAAACAATTATAACTTTAACAGTTAGCTGTCTAATAAATTTAAAGGTAGGTAAATATACCATTTAAAAAGAACATACTAGCCTTAATATACATTAAAATGTATACCTAGTTTTAAAAAAGCAGGTCCTTTTAGTTCTGCTTTTAATATTTTGTGTTTGTCTTTTCTTTGTTTCGATTATTCTTATTAAATAAAAACATAACAATAGAACATTATTCACATAACGAACGTAATATCAAGCGTAATATTTCCGTTTTACAATCGTATTAAAAAATATTAAAAGATTTGAAATTAAATTATCTTAAAATAACGTTAGGCGTCAAAAACAGATGTGTAGTGACAGATTAGTTAAAATTATTTTAAGTTTCTCCGTCAGACGTACGAAGTTAAAACTTGACAGACCGATAAAATGTCATAATTTTCGAATTATAATTGGACCAATAAGAGCGCTCCCGGATGATCGGACTAACGGACGAACGGATACATGAAAATTAAGCTTAAGGCTGTACGCTTTTTATTGGCATACGACTGTATTAATGATTTTTGTGTTGAAATGTATGCTTTGGTAGACATTTTTATTTTTATTTCAGCATTAATGCGAAAGTAGGATTTTTGTTTTACTGAAACTTGTGAAACCCTGAAAATCATACTGTAGTCCTATCTTTTCTAAATATTTAAACATGAGCGGTTAGCGAGTTGGCTATGAAACATTGTATTTTCGTTAATAACAGAGCGTCACCCTAATATAATAAGGTTGTATGTTAAAAAAATTAAAAATTTAAGTCTATGTTTTTACAGGATTATACGTGGCCTACGCTTCACATATATGTGTATACACTTAAAAATAATTTTTTAGAATGTATATTCTATGTATACATACAGACTGTATAGAATCAAGTAAGTAACTTACTTAAAGTAAGGCTGGAGACAAGGATGACAAATTATATTCTGATCAGAGAAAAAGAAACAAACTTTAATTGGGCGTGGTTTAAACCAAGCCATTCCTAATTACGAACCATAGTTGCCAGGTTGTTTTAAATCAGAAGAAAACGATTATAATTATTTAATAAATAGTTCAATTTTATTTGTTTGGAACTTTAAAAATAACAAAAAAATTAATAATACGTCAAAAATAATTTGATTTAGTTAATTTTCTTACTTTTAATATTAAAAAATAAGAAAAACAACCCTTTTAGGAAACAATAATAGCATATGGCAACATCGCGGCATGCAGCCAGATACAAGGGCATGCAGTTTGATCTACTGTGTATGTTCAGTAGCTCCGACGCTGTCGTAGGGAAATGTGTATAGTTTTTAAGAAATACATTTTCGCCATTAACTGGAATTTAATGCATTTTAAACAATACAATTTAATGGATTTTAAACAATACATTAAAACAAAACAAACGAATTCGATAAAAATAAAACCTATAAATTCTCAAACAAAAATAATTCTAAAATAAGGAAAATAATTTTTTTTCTAAATTAAATGTTCAAATAGACCACCAGCAGCAGTTAAACAATACCCTAGCCTATCTTAAAAATTCCTGCTCACGTTAAACAGCATTTCAGGACTAATATCTCCCAATGTATTAAAGATTTGCACAGATCATACGACAATGATACGGCAAGCAAACAAATTCAATCCCTACCACAGTGGGCGGGGTTTGGCACAAAAGATAGATGACTTTAACTGACATACGCTGTCATTGATGATGCCTTCACAGGGTGTTACAAATTTGTTAAAAAACTTCTTACTTTTGCATTCTGTATATGCTCAAATTAAAATCAGAATGGCAAATTTATGGTGGCCGTTTTATTTGCCGGAGGGTTGTAAATAAAACTGTCCTAAATTATTTACTACCTATATAATGAAATTAAATTTAACCCAAAATATTCATTGTTTCCAGATGTTACCAACATTGGTTGGTCCAACAAATCTAAAATGTTTGTGCAAATACTTGTAGCTATTAGTCTAGTTTATATTCGCAGTATAATTCCAAATTAAATTAGATAGAAGCCGTTGTTAAATAAATAAAAAACAAATCAACTCCAATTTTCATATCATTTACTTCTACTGCTGGCAAGTTTATTCAACCCTCAACCCAGTTTTAGACGAAACCAAAGAAAACAACATACCGAATCCATCTATTTCCCGATATTTCTCTCAATATTCTCGTAACTACAACACCAAATAAAATATTCAAACGAAACTTTCAGGGTATTCTGTAACTTCAATTGTTTTTATTTAACGACGTCGTCAAGTTAAGGTCAACGCTTAACGCCCCCACATAAATAATAAAAGGGATCATTATTATTAAACTCCCTGTATAATGAACAATAATTCACGACTTTTAATATAAATTTAGTGGTTTGTGGAGAAATGCAAGATTTTTAATATGGCGTTTATTGTTTTCCTCTAACGTCATTTATTTCGATGTTATAACGTCATAAAGTTGACTAAGTTTATCAACAAAATAATGACATATTTTAAAGGTAGGAATACAAAAAATGTGCTTTTTAGAATGCTACTCTCTAAAAGTAAAACAGTGAAATTTTCACTATTTCCGTCAGTGAGTTATTATTCACTGTAAAATTAGTGTTTTTTATTATCACTACTTTTCCGGAACTCTCGACATAAAATAGTGAAATTTAAACTTTTTTGAACTAAACCTATTTCACTAATTTGTACAGTATAATTTCCACTAAATAAATTAGTGCAAAGGAATCGCTACATGAAAAAGTGAGTATATATACTTATCATTGCGGCAAATAGTTAATATGCACTGTCAACAGTGAAAATCCACTGTTTCATTTTTAGAGAGTATCTACAGATTTTTTATATCTAGATTTTGATAAATTAAGTATTTTGTTTGTCCAAGGGTGGCCAATAAGTTTTCTAAACCCAAAATCACCCGAAATAATCTCTCCACAAAACCCCCAATATCTCCCACACTAACCAACATAATTAAACAAAATTTTAATAGGTTTATAATAAAACCACCACAAACCGATTTTCGTTTGTTTCAACCCCCCCCCTTTAACCCCGCCGAGTTACTTCATTGTTTACGCGGAGGAGATATATGTTGTCGATGCATTTTTCAGATTAACAAGTTGTTGCGTAGTTACAGTACCCCCTGGTGGGGGAATTGAGCGGGGCAGTGAGTCAGCGGGTCAAAGGTGAACAAACTGCAACGCTCCCCTGGACAGGTGAACCTGGATGCAACTAGGTATCTTGTGTGTCGAAATAAGCTTTTGGGATAAAAAATTGATTAAATTGGATTGGAAAGGGGAGTTTATATGTAAAAAAAAATAAAAAATATGCTTCTCATGTATTGTAGGAAATTTCCTTCCATCTTATGAATAATTTTATAACTTTTCATGAATAATTTATGTTTTCAATATTGAGTTCCATAAAACCAATAAAAAACAATATACAATGGATATAATTACACACAAACAGTCAAAAACGTGTTGGTTTTTAACAACAAAAAATTGTTTACGAAAATTTATGAAAACACAACCAACCTTAAAATATTCTCGCAGTTTTGGACCACACCAGTCATAAAATAGTACATCTCGAAGCAATTACATCAAAAATTCAATTTCCCAAAATCTTTGTTTTGTTTTTTGACAGTTCCTACGGCGCGGCGGCTTTGCAGCACCTTAACAACGCGTAACAAATGCACATCGTCCTCTTGGCAACCGTGGAACAACTGAAGTCGAGGCTACGTTCCGCTTATGCAGAGTTTCTGCACGAGAATCGAGCAAAGACCTACGCGTTTCGGCGTTTTCCAGAGAGATGCGACGCGTCGCGACGCCGTGCCGACGCGCACACGGCCCGCTGCGATCCTCTTTTGTTTATTTTGCTAGGTGATTGTGTTTTTTTCAGTTTCAATGTATTCTCAACTTTGATGCCATTTTTAGAACGTTTATAGAAAAATAATGCAATTCTGTGAAATGCTAAATGAAAATATTGTCAATTCATATTGTTATTCACAGACTATATTTAAAATAATCTTTCTCCAACTCGATTCACCTTGATGGTATCAGGTCTGAAAGTAATTTTTTTACTTTTTTTACTAATTTTTGAAAATATAAAGAGAATGACTTGTCTTACCAAAAAATTTTAAGGGAAAAAGTTGTAGAAAATTTAATTCTCTACAAAAAAAGCTGTTATATTTATATCGCTTAAGAGCGCAGTTTACAAGATATTTAATAGTCATGGAATCGAATTTAAGACAAATTAATGTCAAGAAAACACAATTTTTTTTAAATTTTTAAATATTAAACTGCTCATATCTTGTAAACTGTGCACTTTAGGCGATACATAAGGTAAGGACTTTTTGTGGAGAATTAAATTTTCTACAATTTTTTTCTTTAACATTTTTCGGTAAGACAAGCCATTCTCTTAATACACTCACAGGCAAAATAATCGATCCACACAAATTTTCGATGAATTTTAATCGCAAATAACTTTTTTATTTGATTTCGGATTTAAACAAATATTAAAGAATATTGTAGATACATTAATGGAGAATCGCTCACATTTTAAAAATTACTAAAAAATACACGTACTTTTATAATATACAGGTTTAAACAAAAAGATGTTTTTTACCATAAGTTTAAGACAAAACCGTATATTGTTCTAAATTAAGTTTTAATTATCAAGTCACATCTATTTTTAACAGTTTTGTTTTTGGTTCACCTTGATATATTTATTTTTGTGGAAAATATGTATTTTTTTAAAAAACATTGCAATTTTCAATATTTTTCCTGTATGAATAACTAAGGTTGCTATGGTCCATCCATAGCCTATGGAGGATGACAGTGACAGTTTTCTTGAATCATTCCATACTTGGACATGTCATATACAGCTTTCAAAAGCTATCAAATTGTTTTTTGTAAATTAATGTGTTACTTTTGAAGTGTCTTACTTTAAAAATGTCTCCGACTGATGTTGCCCTATGTACTTTACTTCTTGCCACGTAATAGTGTGACCGTCCATCCTGGATTAAATTAATGGCTCTGGCAACATCAGTCGGAGACATATCCATTTTTTAAAGTAAGAAGACACCTCAAAATTTAAACATTAATTTGCAAAAAACAATTTGATAGCTTTTGAAAGCCATGTATGACATGTCCAAGTATGGGATGATTCAACAAAACTGTCACTGTCATTCTCCATGGCCTATGAATGGACCATAGCAACAGAAAAATATTGGAAATTGAAATGTTTTTTTAAAAAATCTATATTTTGCACAAAAATAAATATAACGAGGTAAACCAAAAACAAAACTGTTAAGAATAGATGTGACTTGATAAATAAAACTTAATTTAGAACAATATACGGTTTTGCCACTCTACAGAGTGTGTTAAACTTGGTAAAAAACATATTTTTGTTTAAACCTGTATATTATAAACGTACGTCTATTTTTTAGTAATATTTTAAAATGTGAACGATTCTCCATTAATTTATCTACAATATTCTTTAATATTCGTTTAAATCCGACTTTAATAAAAAAAAGTTATTTGCGATTGAAATTCATTGAAAATTTGTGTGGATCGATTATTTTGCCTGTGAATGTATTTTCAAAAATATGTGAAAAAAGTTTAAAAAATGTCTTTCAGAGCATTTAATGGGAAAAATTCAAAATGAAAAGGGAAGTACCTACTTCAATCAAAATTAAGGAAACTTTTTTTTCGATGTTTTGAACAATATTTTGGAGTTTTGGTGAAAAATAAAAAAATAGTCGTTTTAAATGAAACACCCTAATAATTATAGATACTAACAAAACAAAAAAGTTTGTAAAAATCCATACTAAAGTTTAAAAGTTAAAAGAAAACACTTTTTGTATGATTGTCATTTTCAATTTATAACGACATTCAATTGTTTTAAGGGAGTTGGGTAAAAAGTCGTCTGCTTTTGTTTTTGGCCTTGGCAATCTTGATTACATTGCGTGCCATATTGTTGTATTAATTGCAGAAAAACAAAGTTATTAATAGAAAATATAATGGTATCTGTTCATAAGCGCCAATATAAAATTTTTCCAGAGGGAGGCAAACATCAATATATTGTTACATTATGTACCAATATATTTTGCAGATAAACTTGGGTTTGGTTGGTGCCACTCTTGACCATAGGTAAAAGCAGCCATGTATCTGTTATCATTACAATCTATAGTAGGTAAATGTTTTAAATTCAGTTTGTTTAAAGATAGTTGTTTCTAGCAAAAGTCAATTTCTTGTGTACATGTCAATTTAAGTTTTTTTTACCACAACCAAAAACAACGGAACCACGACCCGACATAACCTAATTTCGCTCTAAACTCGATCGACTAGTTAAGCTATATCAACAATCAAACAACCTGTGCGTGGGTTGATTTGAATTCAAACAAATGCATCTCGAGTTCTCTCTGAATACCGAACGGCCGAAACAAGTGAAACACGGTAACGCTGAAAACCTGAGTCAAACAATTAACAAAAGCCGCGCGCGGCCTGATAACAGCGAAACAATGTAAATTATCGTGAGCAAATTTAAACAGCTTGAATTACGAAGTTTACAACGAACTTATGGCGCATACTGTTACTTGTTGTGTCTTTAACGCCATTTATGACGTTTGAACTGTCAAGAATTACGTTTACAAACGTCAATTCAATTGACTTAATTGTGAATTTTATAGTCAAGTGACATTGGGATTCAAAAGGGTAGTTGGAGAGAGAGTGTTTGGTAATGAAAGTTTTGGGGCATTTTAGGAAAGAAAGTTGTGAGTTCAAGGTCGGCAGATGTTGCCAAATTATCGATTAACGTTTATCACGTTATAAACGCGGCGGCAATGCCGATTTTTTTTTGTATTTTCCGACGATTTAGAAGATGAAATGAATTTCTACATTCGCTCAACTCGCTTGCATGCAAATGAACGCGAATGACCGTGACTTCAATATTAAATTTACCCTTAAATAAAAATAATAAAAAAGCAAAATTTAATTATGACACAGCTTAAGTCGATTTATTAACTTCCCCTAGCAATTAAACACTGTTTAAAATGATAAAGGGCATTAAAAGTTTCAAACAAACACTCGTAAATACTTAAAAATTAAGTTTAAAAGCTACACAACTTTTTGTTTACGAGCCAACTCCACCTTGGGACAAAATAATCTACAATTAACGTAACTAACGTAAATGTCAAAAATGACGTTAAAACTTGAACTGACTTGTACGGTTTTAGGTTAGTTGATGTTTTAAATGAGTTTATAATTTAAACGTCAAATCTGACAGTTAAAACGTCAAAATGGCAAAAATCGATGTTTTTTTCATTAAGTTGGGTTTAGGATATTATCGGTGCAATAAAAGCGCGGTTATTGATTATTAATATGTTCATTTAAGGGTGATTAATAATTTTATGGTGGTTTCTTTTACGGTTGGGTTTTATTGCGCCTGGGGGAAGAATTAATATGTTTTTTATAGTGTCGTTTAAGATATCCCTGCGCCACAATGTTTTGCACAAAAATTGATATTTTAATTTTTGTATGCGTCATTTTAATCTACCAAAAAGCATATAGTTACGGTGTATATCAAAAAAACTAATAAACTACTGAACTGAACTTTTAGGTAAGATACTATTGAAAGTTTTGTTGTTCCCGAATTGACTTTGAAATGGGTGTAATATATATACCAAAACAATACTAGTACAGCTTTCATTTTTTGCAGTTTTAGATGGTCAAATAAAAATCCAAGTATACATTTTATATATACTGTATCTATAGATTGTGTGCTACGCAATTAGTATATTAAGCCTATAGGCTTTTGCCGCTGGGTTTCATATAATATTTTTAATTGAAGCATTTAATTAAATTATTTCCTAAGATTCTTTTTAGGTAAGGTTCAACTGACATGATGATATTTTAGCTTTATTTCTGTACAAAGTAATAATAATTTGACTTTTAAACTAGTATTAATATTAAGTCTTTCTATAAAGACTTATGAGTGTTATAATGTGAAAATTATTGTACGCTTGAAAAATATAGTATATTATATCAAGTTCGATAAACGCTATTTTAGTCACAAATTAATATGAGCTTGCGAGCGAGTGTTTACTATAAAAGTTTATAAACGAGTTATGCTCTCTTAAAATAATTGTCAAATTCTACCGAATGAAAGAGTCAAATTAGTAATAAAAAACTCTTTTCGAGGTTTAAACTCGGGTCTGTTGATTGTCAAGCGGATGTCTAACCGAGGCGCCACTGCTACTTTTATAAAAAATTAGTTATATGGGTGATTCTACAAAAGTTGGGCAACTTTTGACCTCATTTTGTTTATATAGTTTTCGAAGAAAATTAAACAGTATTTTGTTATGAGAACATAGATAATATAATAAATATACTACAGACCGGGCCAGTCACTTTTTCAAACAGTTTCTGAAGCATATGTGTTTTCTAAATTTAAATGCAGGGGAAGTGACGAGTACTACTTTAATACATAATTTATTGGAAAATATAAGATTTATTGCAACTTTGAGCGTATACGTATATATTATACATTAAATATCTTAAATATCTTAAAATCAAATAATA